CTGGAGAAAAGAGTTTACCCTGTTTTACATATGCTAGTAGCTGGTCTCCGAGTCTTGCAGTCTCCCCATTTCTGCCTTTGTGTTCCTTTGCTTTAATGCTGGCATAAAGTTTAGCATGGAATTAGCTACTGGCAGTGCTGTTCATCGTGCAACCCTTCTAACTGGGGGCTTTGAAGATATATAAGAAGTGATGTTTATAGGAACACTGCCATTTTTCTCATGCAAGTAAAAGTGGCAGTGTCTCCTTAAAGCCCACCCTTCCAGCAAGGTGCACTCACAATCCCTGCATTGCCCTGCCACCTCCCCCTTCTTGCACCATACAAGTCTTTATACCAATGAATTGCCAGTCACTAGGCTTGGACCCTGTAAAATGGGAAATGCAGTGACTTGGGTAACCTTATTTGAGGTGGACTCCTGCAGTATGGATTGGTAAGTATACCTTGCTGAAGAGATGGGTGGATTATCAAGAGACAACGGGGGAGATTTACTAAAACTGGAGCACTCAGAATCTGGTGTAGTTGTGCATGGTAGCCAATCAGCTTCTACCTTCAGCTTGTTCAGTTAAGCTTTGACGATATAACCTGGAAGCTGATTGGTTTCTATTCAGAATTGCGCCAGATTTTGCACTCTCTAGTTTTAGTAAATAACCCCTGCTGTTTCTCTGTTGTAAATGAGCAGGTTACAGTGCCTCTTTACAATATCGGAAGCTCTGATCTTTCAACTGCATGTTATGGGAATTTAGGAGAAAATTATGGAGAATGTACACACTAATAGGGTAATAGCATTTTTGTGCAGGTTTTGTTTGAGTATAGACTCTTGGAATAGGTATCAGAGAAATGCTAATGTTTAAGGAACTCTGTGAGCTACAACTATATGTCTATCTGAGTTGTCTCATGTTCTTCGTATAGGACTAATATGTTTGGTCATGCTGTTGTTCTCTTAAAGAAAACCTGTAATGAGAGAAATATGGATGATGCTATTACTGACCTCCATTTGAATATGCTAGTGTCTTGCCTGTATCTTTTTTCTGTGCTTTGTCAGAGCAAGTATGCAGATCAAGAAAATCAGAATGAAGTCAGAGCTTTTATTTTGCATACTTGTTCTGGGTCAGTAAATCATAAAGTAATAAAGCCACTGGATCAGCATAATAGGCAGGGGACTAGCATTACCAAAAGAAGAGGTCAGCAATGGCAGCCTTCATACATCCTCAGTAAAGGTTTGCTGTCATTCATGATGACCTAAATGAGAGCCCTTGTTTACAATTACTCAACTGTCTGCTGATTACATGTTTTCTTGTCCACTCATAGGTGTTAAGTTTGATTTGTCTTAATAAATATGAAAATGATGTCTAAATTATTTATATTAAGCTTGCCATGTAGCTTGTAATTTGCTTCTCTGCTAATGATCTTTTCTTATTATTAAACCAGCGCTTCTCAAACAGTGAGACAGACCTTATTTGGATGCTCAAAGTTACAAAATGCTAAAAACAAGTCCAATGATGGGTTGCATTATTAGAGTTAATTTCTTTATATGCACTGTGAGGTAGATTTACACGAGGAATAATTTTCTACTTTATTATTGGGAGAAAATTCACTTAGCAAAATATTCACTCTGAATACCCAATCATAAATTAAAAGAACAAGCAACAAACAAAACAAAATGTTACCTTTTTGGAATGATTGTTATGTGCTGTACACAGCTTTGCTGTATACTGTATATAAAGAACAATAATATGTTTGGAGGATACCAACGCTGGTTTAGCTACGTATGTCTCAGCGTTTGTAGAGTTTGTTGACATGGATCCTTGTGGTAATGAGTTTGTGTGAGGTCTGAGGAAAAAAAAGACAAGTTTGAGAACAACTGGTTTAAATTGTGCATTTATTTATAACTGATTAGGGATTTGTATAGGTCATGGACAGTTAACAAGCATTGGATTGCATAGAAAGAATAATTCTGTTAGCAAATAACACATAATTAATAACTGAATGTGTTACTAATATTTAGTAGGCAAAACTTTTACAAATTGTTTGAGATAGTGTGGCCCATACATGATCTACAGAATGGAAACAAAAATGTTGTATACATTTTGCATTACACACATTGGTGTGAAGTGGTGAATGGTGCCCCATTGTACCATGCCACCTTTTTTGTGTTGTGTTTTGGTGCCTTAGGTAGGTCATTTAAATGAAGGACTGCCTAAATGCAACAGATTCTGTTGCATGTGTTCTAATGCTCACCAGATTTGCATACTTCCAGCTTCCATTGGATAAGGAAACTCACATTTACAGAAGCAGAAGTCAGCATTGGCAGGTATTCTGTAATAAAAAGATTGTAATGGATCTATTTTTTTTTCATGCGAAAGGGTTCATATTTGTTTATTCCATGACCAGTACAGACTCTAATTTTTATAAAACTTAAATGCATCATGTATTGAAAGGACGCAAATATTCAAAATCTATTTTACTTTTCTCATCCAAATTATTGCATATGTTCTCACTGCTGCCTGGCATTTGATAAAGTAATTTAAACTTAATATTAACAATACAAGTGTGAAATATATGTGTGAATATGTGTCCTTACATATGTATGAACTGTTTATTTGACTTACTTTTTCTGCCATTAAGAATGAGAAATGCACACCTTAGAGGAGCAAGCAATGGTATGCCTTGTTTTGTCAGGTATTATAAAACTCTGTATAGTCCAGTGGCTGATGTCCAGGAATACATGACTATTATAACAAATTGTACTGATCTGGAAAAGCATACTCTTTCTTGCAGATTTCTATGTGTTTTCTCTTCAAAATGGCAAAAGTCTAACAGAGTGAACATAAGTACGCTTAGTTCAGTAATATAAGACTGCACAGCTTGATTTTATGGAGAGCATTTCTTTGTACAGTCCAAACTCATTATTATCTATTAAGAAGTGTAGTAAGCATTCAAACTGATACTTAAAAGAGCATTTTTCACTTTCTCTCTGAGAAATGTGGTATTATAAGGCAGGACAGCAAACCAGCTTTGTAAATAACATATATATTGAAATTTGTTAAACAGATGTTATGCCCATTTGGATCTTTCCAGATGTGGGTTGTGTGACCACTTTTCACACATTCTTTCCTAGGGGAGGTATTTTAGAGTGACCTATATCTATCTACCTTTAACCGCTTCCCAACTACCCTATAGCAGAACTACGTGATTTTGTATTTCCGGGTAGGGGCACGCGTGCACCCTACCCTTGCCACCTTAGGCGGCTACAGCTGTTGATCACCGGGTCCCGGCCAGTGAGTCCCCACCGGCACCAGGCGAACGTATCACTGACGGGGCAAAGGTCTGTATGTAAACAATACAAAAAACGGTCACTGCCCCAGTCTATAACTGGCCTTCACAGCAAGGAGCACATGGATGGGCGACTCATGTCAAACAACAAAAGTTAGAGCTGAGAATGTTTGTTGTTTGACATGCGTCGCCCATCCATGTGCTCCTTGCTGTGAAGGCCAGTTATAGACTGGGGCAGTGACCGTTTTTTGTATTGTTTACACACAGACCTTTCCCCCGTCAGTGATACTTGGTGTTTGCCTGGTGCTGGTGGGGACTCACTGGCTGGGACCCAGTGATCGACAGCTGTAGCTGCCTAAGGTGGCGAGGGTAGGGTGCGTGCTTGCCCCTACCCGGCAATACAAAATCATGTACTTCTGCTATAGGGTAGTTGGAAAGCAGTTAAAGCTAGGTAGATACAGGTCACTCTAAAATAATCTCCCCTAGGAAAGAAAGTGTGAAAAGTGGACAGACAACCCACATCTGGGAAAATCCAAATGGGTATAACACGTGTTTAACAAATCTCAATATATAATATATGTTATTTACAAATGTATCCATGTGCTCATTGCTGTGAAGGCCAGTTGGGCCACACTACCAATTAATTTACACGTTTGGATTTTTTTTTTAGCAAAGAAATGTAGCAGAATACATTTTAGCCTAAATTTATGACAAAATTAGATTTTTAAATTTTTTTACTGGACATGTTTTATAGCAAAAAGTAAAAAATATTGTTTTTTGTTTTCAAAAAACTGTCGGTCTTTTTTTGTTTATAGTGCAAAGAATAAAAAACACAGAGGCGATCAAATGCCACTGAAAGAAAGCTCCATTTGTGGGGAAAAAAAAATAACATAAATTTCATTTGGGTGCAGCATTGCATGACTGCGCAATTGTCAGTTAAAGTAGTGCAGCACCGTATCACAAAAAATGGCCTGGTCAGGAAGGGGGGTAAATCCTCTGGAGTGCAAGTGGTTAATTAACTATTATCAAAGTACTTGGATAGATGTAGCATATTGTGGGGGTATTTACAAAACTGAAAAAAAAGTTAACGGCATTGTGTAAGCATGCCCAAAATACCTACCTCTCCTCCTCTAGGTCATGTCCAAGCTTATATTTTTCTTATAATCTGTTCTTGTAGCAAAAAATAGCTTTTATTATTTCCTGTTATGTCCTCACCAAATGTGTTAAATTGTTGATGGACAGCTCCTGGGAGCTCAATTCTTGCTGATGAAAGCACACACACAAAACTAATCTTCTAAGGCAGGCTGATGTGATGATATGATTTTCTGCATTTCCCCTCATTTTTAGTACTGGAGACAATGGTTCCTAGGCTAATAGAGAGGGTGGTTCTACCCAGTAGGGACACAGATATAAAAACTCTATGGGGATTCTAACTCTTTCCCTCTCCATCTAAACCAGAGTAAAATTATGGCTTTTAGATGTATATCATCTGCCATGTTTTGGGGGCAACATAGATGTTTTTATATTCTGCAATATAAAATATTCACATTTTATAATATATTTGACTTACTATGACTTACAAAAATACCTTTGCAATTATTATTTTTTTTTAATTTACACAATTCACAATATAAAATCAAGCTAAATAGGCATGCTTGCCATGTCATGTTCTGTTAATTGATCATTTTTTTGGTATGGTAAACTAATTATACAATGTTCTGCTTTAAGGTTGTAGTAAATGCCTTAATTGGAGCTATTCCGTCCATCATGAATGTCCTCTTGGTCTGCCTCATATTCTGGCTAATTTTTAGCATCATGGGAGTGAATTTATTAGCCGGAAAATTTGGGAAATGCATTTATGCTGACAACAAGACAGAGATCGATGCATCAATTATAGAGAACAAAACAATGTGTGAAGAAATGAATTCCTCAGAAGCCTACTGGACAAAAGTGAAAGTCAACTTTGACAATGTTGGTGCAGGATACTTGGCTCTACTTCAAGTGGTGAGTACTAGTTTGTGTTTTCTAAATATGAGTGCTCAGCTCAGCTGCCCTTTCTGTACCCTAAATTTCCACACTTCCTTCTGACTCTATAACATGAAAATGAGAATTAAGTATAAAGTGGTTTAACCACTGATTCCTTAAAACTTTTCAAAGCTCAATGGGTTGTTTCGACTGTCAGAATCTAACCAAAACTTAAATATCAGTTTTTGCTGGACTGACCATATCCCTTTTTTCAATATACATGTTACTTTTTAGTTTAACCTTTGATCTGCATGTACAAAATGTTGTCAGAACATCTTTTTTCCACTTGAGAAACATTGCTTGGCTGCATCCTATGCTATCATACACTGTAGCTGAAAACCTGATCCATACATTTGTGTTCTCCCAACTTGACTACTGCAATGCTCTACTCGCTGGTGTGCCTAAATCCACTATTAATTGACTTCAATATTTACAAAATTCTGCAGCCAGAATCCTAACTAGGTCTGGTACTAGTGACCATCTTACCCCTATCCTGGAGTCCTTGTACTGGCTACCCGTCAGGTTTCGCATAGACTTTAAGATCCTCTTGCTCATCTAAAAGGCTCTTCATTGCTTGGCACCCCATTATCTCTCTGAACTTTTATCAACTTACTCCCCCATCGTAAACTCCGCTCCTCAAATTCTGGTCTTCTGTGTGTGTCCCCTACTTACCTACACTCGATGGGAGACAGAGCCTTCTCCTGCTTTGCTCCAAAACTCTGGAATTCTCTTCCAAGGAACATCAGAGAGTCATTTTCTCTAAACCCATTCAAATCAAATCTAAAAACGTTTTTCTTTAGGTAAGCTTTCATGTAATTGTCACGTTTTTTTTCCTTTACTTTACCCTGTTTTTCTTTGCGCTTTGAGACACTATCTTTAAATGCTCTATATAACATAAAGTTTTATTATTATTACTATTACTTTTAAATGTGTACCAGCATCAGCCTCTTGCCAGAAATTTTTGTTAACTTCATAGTGCAAACTTAGTCAAAGGTGATATCCATTATGTTAGAACACATGGTTCAGAAAGGTTGTGTTACTGGATTTTTTGGTAGAACATAAGGAAATAGTGGATGTTTTTCATTGTGCAATGTGTGCAGCAGAGAACAAACTGATACTGACAAAGTCAACAGAAGACCCACTCAGATCTGGTAATCATGTTCTGCTCTTCTTCCCACCTGCAGTCCTGAGATGTCACGCTATGTGGGAAACTGTATGAGGAACATTTTTCAGATTTAAACATATAAAAGAATGACCCGAACTGTATTATAGAGTGGAAAGTCTGTAGTATTTTGAGATTCTATATCAACATGAAGTGAAGTTTGGATGAATTATGCTGTTCGATTTAGATATATGTTGTGTTAATTCAGGGATAATATAACACCCATCAACACCTTGCTTCTTAAAGCAAGGGGATCTAGCATTCGTCACTCTCAGAAGTATTCATCGTTGAAGAGTCCAACGGAGCCTACAGCGCTGGAATGGAGGGGAGGTAGAAGATATGGACCACTGGTTAGGAGAGTATAAAAAGATTTTTAGTCCGAATTTTGTTTAATGTGACAAGATCACTTTATTGCACATTTTACGTGGTATGGATAACAGTTGGATAGACACAAACAAATTACATTTATTTTAAACATGCATCAGTAGTAGATTCAGCATATATATTCTATAGCATGAATGTCCATTGCATTGCAGATGAATAGTGATTACTGCAAGTATACGACTTAGTCAGGTATATCAGTGATTCATATTGTCAGGGTATAGTATACACCTGTGTGAGGACACATCTAATGCAGACTGCATTATTTTATAGAATGAACTATGGGGTGTTATAGATGGCATGGTTTTTCTTGCATCTATTCGTTGCTTTGTCAATCAATTCTCTGCATTTGTTTTGTGGTACATCTGTATGTTAAACTATGATATTCTTTCTTAGTAACAAAGTATCTTTTAGTTTATGCTTCAATAACCACAAATTCAAAAGATTTATTTTAGACAAATAAATCAATTATTAAACACGTAAATTTTGTAACTAATTTAATCTTTTTCTGTGGTACAGAAAGAAAGAAATGAATTCTCTTTCATTTCAATATGAAGCTGTAGGTGGAATTACATAAGAAATTGAAAGAACAGTTTGATTTTCATTGTATTCAATCAGAACTGTTTTTTTCCCAGGATAAAAAAATGTGATTGATTGGAGAGGCAACCACAAAAACAAAATTAAAAATTGTATTCTGTACGTTTCCTGATTCCAACTGATTGTGGAATAGAGAATGTACTCTTTCTTTGTGCCTAGAAAGGAGTTTTGTTTTCTCAGGTAGAGAAGAATTGTTTGGATTATATTATGTGAAGGTGCCAAGTTCCTACCAATAGTATTATAGAATGGAAGGAAATAACAACATGATGAAAACAATGACCCCTCAAGTGTAGGTAATTTAGATGCAGTAAAAAGTCCAAATTCAAATTTATTACCAAAAATCAATCAAATCTGTATTCTTAAAAACTAGGGCATTTAATGTAACAATGTCCATCAGTTACAAACATGTGTTGATTAGTAAGCTTCACCTTTATCTTTAATTAAGCTTCATGTACCTAAAGCCCAATTGAACCCTAATTATTCATTACTGTAATGCAGCCATGTTGTATATACAGTATTACATTTGAGGCTCTTTTACTTATTTTACACTAAGTGCTGCAGCAAGGGTTAAACTATACTGTGCTTCCAGCACATAGAAGAGTCAGACCATGTCACACAAAGTGGTGGTCTGGCTCTCCATTGGTCCCACAGTCCCCTTCCCCCTTCCCAAAACACTATTGTAATCAATAGCACACTGGCTTCCTGAGGGTTCAGTTGGACTTCAATAAAGATTATAAATCACCTAAATATTTTGGAGGAATCTCTTTTAGATCTGTAATTGTTGGGATGACAGCAGCTATGCTCTTACCATCTGTTGGAGTAGACATCTTTTGAATGGGGGGTTTTCACAGCAGAATAATTCCCATACTAGCAACAATCTATTTTATCGTGCTTGCGAAAAAACATAGCACAAAAAAGTAAATTCTTGCCTGTTCAGCTCTAACTAAACATCATGTCCTTTTCTGGTAAGGAAAAAGAGCTTGCCTACAGATCCATGAAATTACAGTTCTTAGCTGCTGCTACACAATGTTTGTCTTTGCAGATGAACATTAGCTTTCTCATGCTTTAGAGATGTAGAGAGACCCCTTTGAGGTCAGAGGTCCTTATTAAGAACACCCACAGTCATGGTATAAGTTACCTTGATTACAACTAGGCCCTGCCCCAACACATTCCTGTTACTATGATTGGCAGATGGGAATTGCTGATAATAGGAATATGCAGGAGGCAGGAAGAGGCAATCAAGCTTTGGCACTGGAAGTGCCTTGTCAGAATGACCTGGCATTTTGGCCATGATGGGACAGTTTAGAACAGGGGTGTCAAAACTCAATTTCATCACGAGCCTCATCAGCATTATGGTTGTCCTCTAAGTGCCAGTTGTATATGTAAGACTATGTAAATGTATCTTTATCATACATAATTAATTGCCTCTGCATTCAAATATTATTGGTTTTAGTAATAACGTTAAGACTTTAGCTGGGAAGGGCAGGTGCAGACCGGCACTGAGCCCACTCACACTTCTAATAAAGCATAAAAGTGCAGCGCTAATTAAACAATAGTTACACAATAATAGATCACATATGATTGTGGATCAGTAAAATGACTGCGTAAGTTTCATCAGATGTGCTGAATAAGCATACAGTCTCCAACAAGTGAGGAGCCAGAAATAGTGAATATCAGAAAATAGCCAAGTAATGCACTAACCAGATAGCGCATGTTAAAGCACATGGGACATTTAAGACCTGTCCCTGGTACTCAGCCACTGTATCACTGGAACAAGGCGGTGTCATCTATAGGGTGACCACTAGATGTCATCTGTCCGGGTGTATCCAGCCACTGTATTAATGGATCAGGAGGGTGTCATCTATAGGGTGACCACTAGATGTCATCGGTTCCAGGGGAAGCTGTATCACGGATCCAGGGATGTCACTTGCAGATGTGTTCTTGCTAGGCACAGCACCAGGACCTTCTGGATTCAGGCTCCCCAGAAATAAAGAGCCCGTGGAAAAAGGCCTCAAATAGTGTGATATCGTTTATTAGGTCAATAAGCAATCAAAAAAGGACTTACTAACAAAGGTTCAGCTGCTCATAAACGGCCAGACCCGGAGGTACATGTACATAGGATAAACATAGCTTGGCACTTCCCTAACGCGTATCGTGTAAGTACACATCATCAGAGGGGACTGTGCCAGTGGTAAGTGTGGTATTTTAAACCTAAAAAAGCGCCAAAAATCACTGCAATGCGGCAGCACCGTTATTGCCGGTTCGCGCATGCGCAGTAGCGATCGGCCATTCGCGCATGCGCAGTAGCGTCCGCGGCGGCCATTTTAAAGAAGCCCAACAGACATTGTTCCATGTAATGTGAATGCATGGACATGCAAGTGCTGGCTCTGCAGCAATCTTAATGGGAATAAGATTCTGCAATCTTAAAAATGACACACGTTGCAGGAAAACCGTACAGCATTTAACAGTGCATGGACCATACTGTATGCACCATTATAGTAAAAACGGCCTAAGTAAAAGACAAAAATATAAATGAGTGGGATCTCTATGCTCGAGACCAAGTGGATATATCTTTTTTTGTGGGTACTACAGTCCCAAGCTCCACAGGGACTTAACGTAGAATTAGATATTAATTGTTTTATTGATACCAGCTGATCGATCTTTTATGATTCTAAGTACATTGGTTTAAATTTATTTTTTTATGATCTTACTTTTTATCAGATTGTTTTTATCTATAAGTTTGACGTGTTTGATGTTATCTTGCCTTTATCTGTATTCCTATTTGAGTGTTTAGATCGCTCTAATAAGTCGATGCACTTTAATCTCTTGATCACTTTAACAAATTCGATGCACCTTAATCTCAGTGCATAAATTTAACATTTTACGGTTATTACTGTTTTAACCAGATTTTTATCCATGCGTTTGTCATATTTGATGTATTTGTGTTTGTATCTGCATTTTAATAGAGTGCCAGAATCGCTTTTTTAGATGAGATCCCACTCATTTATATTTTTGTCTTTTACTTAGGCCGTTTTTACTATAATGGTGCATACAGTATGGTCCATGCACTGTTAATGCTGTATTTCCTGCCCCGTGTGTTTTTAAGATTGCAGAATCTTATTCCCATTATTAAGATTGCTGCAGAGCCAGCACTTGCATGTCCATGCATTCACATTACATGGAACAATGTCTGTTGGGCTTCTTTAAAATGGCCGCCGCGGACGCTACTGCGCATGCGCGAACGGCCGATCGCTACTGCGCATGCGCGAACCGGCAATAACGGTGCCGCCGCATTGCAGTGATTTTTGGCGCTTTTTTAGGTTTAAAACACCACACTTACCACTGGCACAGTCCCCTCTGATGATGTGTACTTACACGATACGCGTTAGGGAAGTGCCAAGCTATGTTTATCCTATGTACATGTACCTCCGGGTCTGGCCGTTTATGAGCAGCTGAACCTTTGTTAGTAAGTCCTTTTTTGATTGCTTATTGACCTAATAAACGATATCACACTATTTGAGGCCTTTTTCCACGGCTCTTTATTTCTGGGGAGCCTGAATCCAGAAGGTCCTGGTGCTGTGCCTAGCAAGAACACATCTGCAAGTGACATCCCTGGATCCTTGATACAGCTTCCCCTGGAACCGATGACATCTAGTGGTCACCCTATAGATGACACCCTCCTGATCCATTAATACAGTGGCTGGATACACCCGGACAGATGACATCTAGTGGTCACCCTATAGATGACACCGCCTTGTTCCAGTGATACAGTGGCTGAGTACCAGGGACAGGTCTTAAATGTCCCATGCGCTTTAACATGCGCTATCTGGTTAGTGCATTACTTGGCTATTTTCTGATATTCACTATTTCTGGCTCCTCACTTGTTGGAGACTGTATGCTTATTCAGCACATCTGATGAACTTACGCAGTCATTTTACTGATCCACAATCATATGTGATCTATTATTGTGTAACTATTGTTTAATTAGCGCTGCACTTTTATGCTTTATTATTTACTCTGGAGGTTCACGAGGTGCCTTTTGTGCCAGCAGCTACCATATCTACATCCTACTATGCGCTCGATTTTATATATATATTTTTATATATAAGTTTATTTTACCACTCACACTTCTAGCTTCATTCAGAAGAAACTTTATTGGTGACTGCTCAGACAGACCATGGTTCTGCCATGGTGTTCTATCTGAACAGTCTCCAATAAAGTTTCTTGTAGAAGATTCCAGAGATGTGTGAGCCTCCTTCTCAGCTGGCATAGATTTGTATCATTTTACAAAAATCATATGCAGAAGTCCAGAGCACCTCACTCTACATCAGATGCCAAGAGCCATCCACCTTCATAAGTCAAGAGTCCCGCAACCTTCCTTACATCACATGCACCCCCCTTACCTTGTGCTTCTGCTGGGAAGAAGCTGGGAAGCAGATAGTGCAGGGTCTGGAGGAGGACCAGAGGAGGGCTTGAGTCAGCTGCTGGAGTCTGCTGAATGCTGAGACCAGGGGAGGAGGAGAAAAGGGGTGCTGCAGCTGAACAGAGAGGCACAGGATCTTTAGGGGGAGTTCTATCCTCCCCTCTGCTGTCGACTGCTGAGATGTGGGGAGGGGCTAGAGTTGATCCTCTACTCAGCTGCACAGGGAAGCACAGGATCTGGTGAGTTCTGTCCTCCTCTCTGCTGCCAAATGCTGAGAAAAGGTGGTGGTAGAGACAAGGGGGATGAGGCAGCTGCAGGAGAGGTGCGATAGCAACATGAAATTGCCTGGTGGGCAGGATTCGGCCTCAGGGTCTTGTGTTTGACACATGTGATTTTGGAGGCTACTACAGGTATACATCTTTTGTAGATTTTGGTTGATAGATTCTTTTTAGTTCAGTTTTTTATGTCTGTGTGGAATAAGTAAATACTGGTACTGGATTGCTACTTGAGCATAGATTAGCTGTAGACATCATTTAAAAGGCAGAAGAAAAGTGGAAAATCATGGAGTTTAAAAGAGAGAACAGCAAACATATATTGTATATAGGAAAGGCTTAACTAAATGTGTTCAGTGTTCAGTAAAGAACTTTAATTATATTCTTTAAAACATACCACTGAATGCACAAATAAAATGTTTCATTTTTATTCCAATTATTTCTATTTTATAAACAGTTTTATTTTGTAATAATTTAGCTTTATGTGTTTTGCAGAAATTTAATTTTTGTCAAACTCTTGATTGGTTATGTACTTTTAGAAATGTATCTCTCCATTAGCCTGTCTCTTATTGCCCTTTATAAAGAGGCTTTACCTTGCGTTCTACTGATATACCACTCAGAGTGATGTAGAAGTGTGACAGTCTGATCATTTCTTTTTCTGGGTTTTTTAGCCAGAGCTGAGCCTTGCCAGCAATGACATAGAGCCCTAGCAATGCAATATTTACATATACACAGAAACGGTGCTAATTACTGCAATATGTAATGTGCAGACATGGAGATACTTCACTGGCAATTTGACAGTGTGTTTTATTTCCTTATTGTTTTGTGCCTCTCCCTCGTGGGGGACACAGCTGTTTCCTCTTGAAAACAGAATTGGAGGCTTGGTACAAATGGCTTTTTGTAAAAAAAAAACCTGCCCCCTACTACCACACACACACACACTGTAAACTGAATATTAAATGCTAATGTACATTTCTTTTGTGATGTGATTCCCTGCGTAGAGTGAAATCTTATGTCAAATATACTGGCGCCATTCATCACAGTACACAAGAAAGTATACATGCTTTAATTTCATAAACAATATATAGTTCTCACCATGTCCCTACAATAAAGACAAGAACTGCTTTGCAATTTACTGAGTACTTTGTTTCCTGCAGGCAACATTTAAAGGGTGGATGGATATCATGTATGCAGCTGTGGATTCCCGAACACTCGTAAGTAATGTTTAATGTGACTTTGCAGAACAAATCTAAAGAGATAATAACCCCCCCCCCCCTCAATTTTTTATTGCTGTTTACCAGTTCTTATATGTGTTGACTGTATTAGTTTTCCTTAGGCTTTTTCCCTTTATTTTCACCCGATGATCCAACCAGTGAGTCTGTCATTTTTCAACTTCCTTTTTCACACCAATCTGCCTAGTAAAAGTAGGTTGAAACACAAACCATTTGGCAATGACAGAGGTGCTTCCAATGATCAGCTTTTATTCATATGTGTGAAAAAAAACCCTATCCAATATAAAAGTTTGCAGGAGTTTGGCTTTAATTTGTTAGTCAACTCCATCTAAATCTCCTAGTGCATTGACCCTACCCTCCCCCTCGACTGACAAAGCTGCTGTCCAAAGCTGTTTCCATTGCCCTTTCATCCAGAGTGGAGATACCTAAAATAGGAAGAGTGTTACTGGCTGGCTGGATTACCAGGTGAATTTAAAGGTAAAAAATGAAAAATGCATCCATCACACTTAAGGATTGATCTGTTTCAATGTCAATTTAGCTACCATCATCATTGGATCTTGCCATTAAAGATGGGGGGGGGGGGGGGGGTTGATTTATTAAAAGATTAGAATGTTAACTTTGCAAAGTAACTATTCACTTAGCCTAATTAATCTGGTGAAGAAATTTAAAAAGTTTACTTTGGATATCCAATCATATGCAATAAATTGGATTAGATTATTAAAGAGAACCCAGGTTCACCTTATTCATTAAGTCAAACGGCATTCTCTAGGAAAATTGAAAATTGAGGGAGATTCTCCCTGTCTATTTATCCTAGTGAATGTAATCACCAAAAGTGAAAGTGAAAGAAAATCCCATATTTTTAGTTGCCACCAGAACAGAAATAGAGGGAAAATCTTCCATAGGGGGCAGTATTTCTGGTGTCCCTGATGACTATCAGGGATTTCCTACACTTTGAAGGGATTTCCTCCCAACTTGGGATTTCCAACTTCCTGTTGTGGCTTTGGTATGGAAGAGAAGAGAAATTTTATTAATTAAACTCATGGCAAAAAAAACCTGACACGGGTTATAACACTCCCTTACACTATCAAAAAAAAGTATTGCTTTCAGTTCTACTTTATGAGCATGAGCCATATGTGCTGTTCTGAACCACCTAACCTATGGTGCTCTGTGTGTGAGCATGAATGGTCATCTTAAAAAGGTAATCTTAAAAATTCTCTAATCTAAAGATCTATAGAAAGAAAATAATCAATGAAAATTAAGAAAAGCACTGGTGTTTTAAGTTGCACGTCACTTCAATAAGGATGGCCAGATCTCCCATTGCACATCAAAGCTAAACTACCCAGCCTATGGCAAGGTCATAATTATGTTTTTGTTCCCATAAGTAAAACAATGCCTAAATTGTATAAGTAAATAGAAGCTATACTGCAAAGCCAAATTATTCATACCATGGAGGAGACAGGCTACCACTGTGTTAAAGAGGTTTTCTATTCTTAACTAAAAAAGTCAAAAACTCCTGCGTTGCGCTAAATCTTGCATAGAGTCCTGCAAATCAACTGCTCCCGTGAACAATCAATTCTATGGATGCTGTTGTAATCTGTGCTGCTCATTTGTTCTGTGTTGGCCTTGTAAACTAATTTGAAATGAATTTCTAAATGAGTAAATCATTTTTAGTTTGCTAATGTTAGCTCAGCGAAAAAAGTACAGGTGTGTTCAGTCATTGCAAGCAAACTCCTGTCCCCTTGCACAGGACTTAGTGTTCAACATGAACACTGCTTCCAAACATCTTTGATTGGCTTCAGCATGACCAGACAAGTATATTTTCCATTTTTTTATTGAAAATCTAGAACCCCTTTAATGTATTAAAAACATGTATAAAAATAGTTTGCATGGTTAGAAATTGTAAAGTAGTTTTGACTTGTTAAAATGTGAGAAGCTGTATTCATTAAAGTCAATTAGATTCAAATTCAGTGACATATTGGCTGCAAAAAAATTATTTGACTTTCTGATTATTTTTTTAATTATGCTTTTTTTTTTTTCTTACAAGTATTAGTGGCACCATGAAATGTGTTGGAGAATGTAAAACATTAGTAATACAATTAATTCCCTGTTGCCATCCGTCTTCCATTCACTCTTGGTGGTCCTGTGTCATTTATGGTTATGGTTATTCAATGCGGTGACTGGGCTGTATATATCGCATGCTTCAGTCCTTGTGATTGACATATGTTTTTTATTACCCACGTCCATTTTCCAGATGATATAATGCAATCTGCAGAGTGGGCTGATTTGAGAGTTTCAGGAAGAGCTTAGCCATAAAAACGAATTTAATTTCACACATGCGACTAATTATGAATGATATGGTTCGCTTCTCATAGTGATTACTGATTCACAAATGATTAACTAACAAAAACAGAGGTTTTGGGAACGTGGAGGTTCTTGCAGTGATTTTCATATGTGTGTGTGTGTTACAGCAGGAATTAAATAACTGCAAGCCATATGCAACTCTGACATAACACTGCCAACTCCTGTGTGCGTGTAACTGGAAAAGCTAAAAGGCGACTCTAGCCAAAGCTTTTTTTTTCGTTTTCAGTTAAGTTGAAGTGTTAGATCTTATGTCAGGTTTTTATAGCTCTCTGTGTCTCCTCTAGATATATTTCCCTTAATTTCCTGTTTCAAGCATACTTAGGCTGATTTATTAACCACTTGCCCTCCAGAGGATTTACCCCCACCCCCCTCCTCCCCCCGACCAGGCCATTTTTGCGTTACGACACTGTGTTACTTTGCCTGACGATTGCGCGGTCCTGCAATGCTGCACCAAAATGAAATTTACTTCCTTTTTTCCCCACAAATAGAGCTTTCTTTCAGTGGTATTTTGACTGAAAATTTTGAGAACAAAAACAATATTTTTGACATTTTGCTATTTAAACGTGTCCAATATCAAAAATTAAAAAAATCTAATTTTGTCATAAATTTAGGCCAAAATGTATTCTGCTACATGTCTTTGTTAGAAAATATCCCAATACGTGTAAATTAATTGATTTACGTGAAAGTTATAGTCTTTACAAATACGATATATATATATATATATATATATATATATATATATACAAAATATACTGGATTTTTTTTTTATTTGTACTAGTAATGGCGGCGATCAGCGACTTATAGTGGGACTGCGGTGGGCATTCTGACACTGGGGGTAAACTGACTTGTTGTCACTGACATCCCCAGTGACACCAATACAGTGATTAGTGCTAATAAAAAGCACTAACACTGTACTAATGGCACTGGGCAGGAAGGGGTTAACATGTGGGGTGATCAAAGGGTTAACTGTGTGCTGTTTCACATTATGTGCTGTGTGTATTTCATACAAAGCAGTGTGCAGGGGCTGACGGGTATACATACAGGTCTTTTCCCCGTCGAGTAATCACCGGCCGGGACCCGATGATCCACAGCCGAGGCTGCGAATGGCGGCATGGGTAGGTCACACGTGCAGCTCACGCACACCCTACCTGGAAATGCAAAATCACGTATATATACGTCATTTTGCACACCTGTGCCATCCTGTAGAAGTATTTCTGCTATAGAGCAGAGGGGAAGTAGTTAAAGGATTTGAGAATCAACACTTAATAAAAAATGAGTGAAAATTGACTTCAATTGCAAGGTCAGATGAAAAGACACTTAGGGGTTTATTTTCTAAAGCTGGAGCGTGCAAAATCAGGCTCACTTCTGAGTAGAAACCAATCAGCTGCCAGGTTTTATTGCCAAAGCTTAATTGAACAAGCTGAGTTTAGAAGCTGATTTGTTTCTATGGAGAAGTGAGCCTGATTTTGCACGCTCCAGCTTTAGTATATAAGCCCCTTACTATTTATTTGTTTTATCTGCACATGATTGGGTATTCAAAGTGAACACAGTTACAATTTATTGAGTGAAGACTCTTAATTGCCTTAGTAAATCAACCTGGGTTGTACAGGGGAAACTACATGGGATCCATATGATCAAGATGGATAGGCTCTTCCCTCATTTGAGCCTTTAAAAGTATTTAAATATGTATTGGAATAAGTCTACTGATGCTGATAGCTAGATAGGAACTGCCATTGGTGTTGGGGGTTTTAACACAAGTCTATAAGAGAATAGCAGATATGGCACAAAGTACACAAACTGGCCAGTTTCTCTTACAGTACAACCATGTTGTAATGTTCAGTGTGTCCTGTGAGTTTGCCCATGGCAGAATGATACGATCATACAGTCTCCACTTGTGTCTATCACTGACGTCAATCAAACATATGTCACCTACCTACTTTCTATTAAAACCAGCAAGCTTGTAAAAACAAAACTAAAGTATAATGGGTTTTTGCCTATAATATTGTTTTCAAAAGTGTTTATATATTGAAGTTTTATATATATTTCGTATTATATGTAAATCTTTAGTTTACAAATAAGTACAGGATGCATCCATAACACTTAGCCCTCATGCACACTGGGCATTTTACCCATCATTTCTTTGGCTATTGTAATGAATGAACACTCAAGTGTTAAATCACCTAGTGTTGAGGTGCATTTAGACATGTTTAGGTGCATTGGGTATTTTTTCTGCCTGTAATTGCTCCTGCCTCTAAATGCCAGTAAATGCTTATGTGTACAGGGACACATAGGCTAACATGGAGGGGCATTTAGAGACAGAATAAAAAGGTAAATACAAAAGCTCAGCACTGCTATTATAGAGTATATAAACTGTATAACTGACTAATCCAGACAGTCCCTTTATATGCTAAGATAGAAGGAGGGGGGGGCCTTCTTCTGAGTCATCCACCAGTGGGTGAGCAGGAGTGTGCCTGATGGGTCATCCACAGGAAGTCATTCTGAATCAGTATTAAAACCAATTATTCACCATCTGCAGGCAGCAAATGTTGAAAACAGATTGGGGCCAGCAGATCTGACCATATAAATATGACAAATGTCACTGAGAAATAGATTTCTCATTGAAAGATGGGAAATCCAGATGTGTGGCAAATATTAACACATTGATAAAGTGATTAATGTTTAGCCAATATGCGAACTGACCATTCAAAGTATATACCTATATGTGTTCAATCTTTGTTTAAACATTTATAATACTTTTAAACATTTTTTTTTCTGCGTTTGCATTGCGTTTACCTTAATGTTAATCACTATATCAATATGTTTTTTTCATCATTTTAACTAATTGTTTCCTAGTTTGGTTAATTTATATTTCAATATTTTTCTTGCACATGATTGGCTTTTCAATAGCTTCACCGTATTTACTAAAGTACAAGTAAACATTCTCTTCTTTAGAAAATCAAACCCTTTGTGTGGCTGATTGATTATATCACAGCTGTACTCCTGTTGCGATGCTGAATACCCTGACAAACATACAGGGCAATAACTAATATTAATAAAGCACAATACATTTGTAAGCATGCAGAGAATGTTCTAGATTTACATAGTGACTTATAACTGTAATGTGTATACAATAATGTTCTTTGTTAACATGTATTTACTGTTCTTTGTTTTTTGTTCCCTAGATTGAACAGCAGCCGATTTATGAAATTAATAAATACATGTACCTATATTTTGTTGTTTTTATCATATTTGGCTCTTTCTTCACTCTGAACCTTTTTATTGGTGTCATTATTGACAACTTCAATCAACAAAAGAAGAAGATAAGTATCTGAATGTGTTTGGTGCTGGAGGCCTCAATTTGGAAAATGCCTCTAGGAAAGTTAAAGGGTGTATCTAATTAGATGTTTAGACTGGTACACATCTTCATTACTTTGTATATAGAATATATGTTATTATAATGGAAGCAGCCTTGCTCTTGCTTGTCCACAGCAATAAAACATAAGACTTAAAAATAAATACTAGCTTCTCTAACTGTGCTTAAAATTATCCTTGCTATTATGGAAGTAGAACTTGTGTCCAGACCCCAGCCCCAAAGAAAAAAAAAGTTCTTATTTGCAAAGTTGCCACCACATGGTATCTCTCTGCAGAGCAACATGCTCTAGATTTTGTGAGGTTTGTAAAAGTACAACAGATTCCTCTGAAAGCAGTTGTCTTCTCTATCAAGAGCAACCACAGCAGCAGCATAAATGTACTCCTTCAAACTAATCTTTTAATTTCAGAGCTTCTTTTACAATGTATACATACACTATATTGCCAGAAGTATTGGGACACCCCTCCAAATCATTGGATTCAGGTGTTCCAGTCACCTCCATGGCCACAGGTGTATAAAATCAAGCACCTACCCACATGGAAGAAATTATATTTTAAATATATTTTAAAAGTATTCTTCCCAAATATATTGACATATATTTGAAATACTAAAATTTTGGCCATATTCAAAAATAATCTGAAAAATATTTTTAGAAATACATTTTCAAATATACTGTATGTCATTAAAAATACATTTAATCTACATCTTTGGAATGCACTTACAAATATATGTAAAAATATATGTTAAAATGACTTTTTTTATATGTTAAAATCTGAAGAATATATTTTTTAAAAATATATTTTAAATAATATTTTTTATATATTTTTAATATATAAAAAGACGCATTTGAACATACAGTATATACATATATATATATATATATATATATATATATACACACTGAAAAATATTTTGAAATATATTGAATATCGCCAAAATTGTAGTATTTCAAATATATGTTGATATATTTGGGAAGAATATTTAAAAAATATATTTTAAAACATATTTTTCTTCCATGTGCGTAGCCATGCAGACTGCTTCTATAAACATTTGTGAAAGAATGGGCTGTTCACAGGAGCTCAGGGAATTCAAGTGTGGTACCGTTATAGGTTGCCACCTGTGCAATAAGTCCATCCGTAAAATTTCTTTGCTACTAAATATTACACCGTCAACTGTTAGTGGTATTATAACAAAGTGGAAGCAACTGGGAACAACAGCAACTCAGCCACCAAGTGGTAGGCCACGTAAAATGGCAGAGCAGGGTCAGTGTATGCTGAAGCGCACAATGCACAGAAGTCACCAACTGCCTGCACTGTCAATAGCTACAGACCTCCAAACTTTGTGTGGCTTTCAAATTAGCACAACAACAGTGTGTAGAGAGCTTCATGGAATTGGTTTTCATGGCTGATCAGCTGCATTCAAGCCTTACATCACCAAAATGCAATGCAGTGGTGTAAAGACAAGTTCTCTGGAGTGACGACGAATCACTCTTCTCTGTCTGGCAATCCAATGGACGTGTCTGGGTTTGGCGGTTGCCAGGACAATGGTACTTGCCTGTCCACATTGTGCCAAGTGTAAATTTGGTGGAGGGGGGGGGATATGGTTTGGGGTTGTTTTTCAGGGGCTGGGCTTGGGATGAATTAGAGTGAAGATTGCGAGCCAGGCATTCTTGTCTGACATCAGTGCCTGACCTCACAAATGCATCAAATGCGCTTCTGGAAGATTGGTCAAACATTCCCATAGACACACTCCTAAACCTTGTGGACAGCCTTCCCAAAAGAGTTGAAGCTGTTAAAGCTGCAAAGGGTGGGCCAACTCAATATTGAACCCTACAGACTAAGGCTGGGATGCCATTAAAGGTCATGTGCGTTTAAAGGCAGGTGTCCCAATACTTTTAGCAATATAGTGTATATATACAGTGTGTATATATATATATATATATATATATATATAAACATTTTTTTTGTAATCTTTATTTTAGAAAGATTTTGTCATGCAAAAAATGACCTGATATGGCAAAAAAGGAGCACTGACTACAATAATCGGTAAACATGAACAATCAAATAAAATCAGTGCTTGGATGGTGCCCCACAGGCGTACTACGTAGAAAAAGGTAGTCGAAGGTGCATCCTATCAGGGCATGAATACAAACAAAAAAAAGGAAGGGATGGTAAATAAAAGAAAGATGAACAAGATAAAACATCAGATTATATCAGGACACTAATCCAATTCAGGGAAAATATAAAACTATTTCAATGGATGCTTACTCCAATGTATTTTCTTCCACTGAGAATCTGTGATACTCCCATACTAGACCTAAGCTATTACTGAATTTACATAGTTAAATGCATATATAGACACAGTTTATTATTTACCATGAAAGATCTCAGTCCATTCCAAGTCATTACCGCAACCATAGCAACCGGTGCATAAGAACATCTCTCTACAGTTACTTGTGTCAGGTCACTAAGAATTTTGAAAAGAAAACTTCATAAATTGTTACTGCTGATAAAGTGTAGACTAAGAGGGTAAATACAGTTTAGAGAAGCCATGCCAATTGACCCCCTCAAACTCTTGTAAACACTCAAGTTGGGTTATTTAAAAACTGGATGGAGTCAGATAGTCAAGCATTAAAGAAAAAAAATGCAAAGGACACAAAGAATTTAGGCATGAGTGTGCAAAGCAAACCGCTTTGTATCTGTGTTTGTTTTTTGTTACTGGATGCAGATTTTGCACATAGTGCAGTTTTTATAATCATGGCCTCTAAAGTCTGTGCAAAAGTTTCAGCACAGGCATCTTGCAGGTAAAAACTTCATAGTCAGACCACTAAATTGAAACATATATAACCTGCTTCAGCTGTCCTTTAAAAAATGTGCATATCTCCCTTTCTGGAGTGTCTCTGAACCAGAATATTATGTTTTTGCATCCATTAAACTACATTTATAGTAAGTAATGACTGCAAGTAAATCTCATATGCTTCTGCATTTGTACAATGTTGAAAACTGTTCAGCAGAACAGATTGACTCTCAGACATAGCCATAAGTAATTCTAATATTGTGCTGTACAAGGATCCTTTAGATTGTTCTTTGCCCTAAGAATGAACAACTGTGAAAGATTGAAGGCCAGTGGAATGCATGACTTGGCTTTGTGTATACAGCATACAGTATGTGTCAATAGGAATGAGCTGAACCTGGGTTTGGTTAGCTGAGGTTTAGCTGAATACATCAAAAGTTCATATGCCAAATTTAAACCCCATTGAAGTACTTAAGTCTGTCAAAAAAATGTTCTCCATTATTAAGGCCAGTAGCCAAGGAATTGACCAAAAAAAGTGCAACATTAAAAAGCACCATTCCTTCAAAATACCTGCTTGGGGCATGGGGGTTGGAGTTTGTAAATAAAGCAATGGGGAGCCCAAAATACACACCAGACACTCTTAAAAGGAGGATGATGGTATTGTATGTATTTTGAAGGGTTATTTACAAAATAAGAAAGCTTGCTGGCACAAGTAAATTCGCTGTTCTTTTTTCTATATGTCACTTTTGCTATACATGTAACAATTTTGTATGGATTTTGAGGGGAATCTTGTGCAGAAAATAAATGGTTTAGGGTACATCCTCAAATCTATACTAGACCCTCAATCTGACCTCATTGCTGGCAGGCCAGGAAATGTTGGAGGCAACCCTCTAACCATACCAGGTCATGTGCCCTCAAAATGGAGGGTCCCATGTTGATGAGGACAAGGGCCTATTCCCCACTATCCTGGCCTGCTGCATGTGGGGGGTGCAAGGGGGAACCCATCAGAGTCTTGAATGCCCCTTTAAGATAAGTGGGCTCCCAGATATCTGCTGCCTCCCCCCCCCCCCCATGTGAATAAGTACACATTCAAGTTGTGAATAAACACAGCCATCATATGGCTTCATATGATCATCATCCAATAAAACAGCATTTTTTGGCATGACCAGTCATATTTTCAATATCAATGCCATAATTTCACAATTTCTGCCAGGGTATGCAAACTTTTGAGCGCAACTGTATGTGCCTGCTATATCATTTACTTGTATGAAAAAGTATCCTGTTCTCTTTGTATTGCTTCCTTTATGTGAAATGCCTGGTGTTCCTGCCAGTCCCTCTGCTTTTCTGCTTTCCTATTAAAAACTGACCACACCAGGCAGAGAGCACAGTGCGATCAGTTCTTTAGCTGTGCTGGGAGCTAATCCAGTGATCAGGCTTGGGCATACAGGCCCCTCCCCCCAGCCCATCCTTTCACTGGGAAGACGAGTGAGCTGCTGTTTCTCCTCCCTGAGCTCCTTATGCTTCTGCGAACAGAGAGAATGTGATCACTTAGAAAAGGGGGATTTATAGTGTTTTTAATATGTGTGCACAAATGTTTTGCCTTTCATTTCTATTAGGAATCTGTCGATTTGGCAGCAACATATCCCTAAATGAGTGGGGTATGTCTGTGCTAGGAAGCTGTCATGACAGCACTGTATCCCCAGCCCCATTTACCTGCCAGGGGATTCTGTGGCTTAAAGCGAAGTTGGGAATAAAAAGACAGGGGACTCTGGTGATGCCACTTCCCATATTTGGGACATGATGAGCTCAAAGGGAACAGGGACCTGATGGGGGACTAGTCCCTACAGCACCAGTACTTTTTGGGTGGGTGGATCCTGATGAGGAATTAGAGACCTGCTTCTCTTCAGGTCCACCTTGTTTTTTTTTTTGCCAGTGGGAGGCAGTGGGTAGATTCAAAAGCCTCTGTTGGTGTGAATAGTGGCTATAGATCTGCCCACTTCTGTGCACTGTCAATTAAAAGGAAGGTGGACCTGATGGGGAACAAGTCTCTGAGCTTCCCTTCAGGCTCATCCAACCCCACTACAAAACTCCTCAGCCATGGTTCTGTCTATATTATATGATGGGCACAGTCGTTGGGAAGGAAGCTCACTATAGAAAGAGAATCCAGTATAGACACTCTGAACTCAGTGCTGGCCTCCAACAAATTCATGTACCTATTTCTGACAGGCACATGCATCTGCTGCAAGAACCCACAACTGCAGAGGGCTGACAGAATTCCCCACAATAATGTGGTAGTAAATTAATTTAGAAAAAAAAACATTAAAAATGCCTCCCCCGCAGGTTTAGGCCATAATGCACTAATATGCATACCAACATCTTGTGACACTTACCTGTCATAATATGCCCTCTCCAGTGCTGTGCTGTCTCCTATCCAATGGGTCCCAGGCACTTCCATTTTTGTCCCCTCTTCCTTCTAGCCTCAGTCTCGTTTCCCACTTGAATGGCCAGGCCAGGAATCACATCATCTCAGTACAGATTGGGTGCCATTAATGCATGCTGAGCTGTACTTGCACAGCTCAGTGTACATTACAGCTAACAGACAGGGGAAGCATTTATGACAGAAGAAACCGATAGGGTCTCTTCTGTAATATAAGCCCTACCTGTCAGCAATTTAAAAAAAAGTGGGTTTATTCCCACTTTAAATTCATCCTAGATATTGTTATTTAGTTTCCTGATATCATTTTGATAGTACAGTACATGGAGGATTAAGGATACAACAGTGCACCTACATATATACACTGCAACAATTTCCTTCGCTGAAACCACTACAATCATAATCACCTACTGTATGTGTACGTCTTAATTTTTCCCAGTCTTATGTCACTAATTTTGTTCTTGTTATCATTTGTTTAAATATCACTTATGTCAGTTTTACTGAGCTTCTTTTTTTTTATTGAGATGCGTACTGCATAAAACATTCACCATCCCAGCCATAGAATCCAGGATTAATAACACTCAATCAGATAAGCAAGATGCTTTTTCTAGAATGACTCAGTGGAAGACATTACTTATCAGAAAGTATACATCAGGTACAAGGAGATAGGGGAATATCCCCTTAAAATAACACTGCTCCTTTATCATAGGCTCACATGTGCTGTCAGACCAGAAAACGGCTAGTAGGCTTGATATTTGTGTATTTATTTTGTGTCCAGGCTATGGACATTAAAGTATTTACATATTCAAAACAAACAGTAAAAGAGCTTTAAAAGAAGACATCCATGACCTCTCTTGCTGCATGTACTGTAAAGTAATTCAATCTCAGAGATCCCCAAAGAGATGAAGTTCTCCACAATTCCTATAGGTACAAAGGTGAATAAGGGCACTAAAGTATATTTTCTGTTTGTTCAGGATATGTAAATACCTTGATGTTCAATGTCTGGGCATAGGTTCACTTTAACTGACATTGGCAGGGGTAACTGACATAGACACCTGGTTCTTACTTTTATTATAATATGTAAAGTGTTAGTGTTAACTAGTATCTTCTAAAATACTGTTCAGCCTTATATTTGAGGGTTACCAGTTTTCATTGTAGAGTTTTGATGTCATAGCTGAAAAAATATAAATAGTATTTCAAGAATAATAATTTCATAACTGTATTGTGCATGATAATAATGTACTGCATATTATGGCAAAAATAATAATAGCTTTTGTTATATCATTTTACTTAGGAGGCCAAGACATTTTTATGACGGAAGAGCAAAAAAAATACTACAATGCTATGAAGAAACTGGGCTCAAAAAAGCCTCAGAAGCCAATCCCAAGGCCTCATGTAAGCATTGAAGCAGAGGACCAATTATTTTGTTTTCAAACAATATGGATGTGATATCTATATGCCATTAATCAAAGCTGCAACTTATTTGGATGGTATACATTTGTATTGCTTTATGCAGCCGCTCCTCCTCAACATCATTATCTGCTCCATAGTGCCTTTTCTTTTTAGCAGAGTTGGATATTCTAACAGGAGATTCTCACTGGTGCACTGTGGTTGCAGAGCCATTTATGCACGATTTACATGCGGTTGAAGGTGCGCTCCCATTGATTTCTTTTACACCATGTGTTTTCATGAAAGAGTATCAAAATCAAAGTCCTGCAAGATGCATCTTTTATGTGCTTTCAGAAAATGCACGGTCTAATAGAGGTCAGTGGAAGTACACCTTAAACCGCATGTAAAAGATACAATCGTGCTGCACCCAAACCACAGCACACAGGTGTGAGCCCAGCAATAGGTAGGACAGCACATTGGCTTGGTGGTTAGCTTCTCTGCCTGGCAGTATGAGAGTTGTTGGTTTGAATCCCAACCAAAACACTGCCTGCCTGGAGCTTGCATGTTCTCTCTGTGCTTTCATGGGTTTCCTTCCACAATCCAAAGACATGCCTCCTGTCTAAACTGGCTCTAGTATGTGTGTGTATGAATGTAAGTTAGGGACCTTAGATTATAAGCTCTTTGAGGGCAGCAACTCATGTGAATGTACTGTATATATGTAAAGTGTCAGTGCTATAGAAGTACCATAAATAAATAAGAAGTCATTGCTATTAATAAATTAATAGTAATAATCACAGACCTGTATTAACAGATTTGTGCATTTTGAGAGTTTTCTTGGCTTTACTGTTACAATTATTTACTTTTCACGTAGAGATATGCAAGTGCTCACATGAATGTCTGTAAAGCAATCCCTGAGCATCTCCACATAACTGCTGAGATTACATGATAAGCCATATAGAGAGCATGTTTTTCCAGTCATTTTGAACCACCTGGGAGGAACAGTAAAGCACAAACACTGGTGCACTGCTAAGAAAGAAACATAACATAAATCACATTTTTATCGCATTAACAGACAATGAGAGAGATTTACTAAAAACTGGTGCACACAGAATCTGGTGCAGCTATGTATGGTAGCCAATCAGTTTCTAACTTCAGCTTGTTCTTTGGCAATACATTCTGGCGGCACATTGGTTTCTATGCACCAACTTTTGCACTCTCCATTTTTAGTAATTAAACCCCAATGTTTCTCAGCCAACTGTGTAATTTTTGCTTAGTTTTGAATAAAGTGGTAAATTATTTCTCACCCTCACCCTTTACAAAAAATGTATATATATATATATATATATATATATATATATATATATATATAAAAATTCTAAAAATAAACAAAAAATATTCACAACCAAAATAAATCCCCGGGGCACAATAATGTCAGCAGATGATTTTAGATGATATTTGCATTTACTGTGCGAGCAATATGTGAGAGTCAAAAAGAAACACACATACATACTCATCTAGAAGGCTGTCCCCTGCCAGCTCTACATCAAAAACTAAGTGATCAAAGACTGCTGATCGGGTCCACTCTGAGCATAGAGCAGAGACTGTCAGCCACTAGCTCTTTGCTCTGCCCCTCCAGCGCTTTTTGGGGTGTCAGACTTTGAATGGGCCTTGAACTGCTGGGCTCAGGTTCTCAGTGGTGTACCAAGAGGCTGAGCCAGCTGCCAGTCACCAACATTATTGTCAGGATCCTTCCAGAGCCTGGACCAGCTCTGTGACATCAGCCGACAGTGGACTTTAGCCTGCTGTTAGTTGAATCTGGTTCACAGGATTGCAGAACTAAGTGCACTCCTGTGACCCACAGTAGAAATATGGCCAGAAAAGAGCTTTGGCCTTACTTCTCCTTTAACCCAATTTAATTTTAAAGCAGGAGTTTAGGCAAAAATAAAATCTTCTCTATAACTTTAGTATCCAACTTACCTGTCTTAAAGTATGTCCCTTTGCTACATAAAAGTTGCATTAATATATTTTAATTAAAACACTTTGTTGATGATATTTTTCCATAACTACAGTATATGGAGGTGCTACAATTAATTAAATGATGCATTGGGAAAACTTGAGGAAAACTTTTTTTTCTAAATTTGTTAGTATTTATGTCCAATAAAAACAAAGGAAATAAAAATATGTTCATCCATATTTGCTACCAAAAATAAACATCTATCGGTCCCAAACCCCCCACCCCCCTAAAAAACAATGTATAACATGTTAGGATAGACTACCAGCATTAAAGGGTATAATGTGCAGAACCAAGATATCACAAAAAAAAAAAAATCCTAAAAGTTAAGGGGTCAAATGCTGCAAAAGAAGTTATCTATTTTTGATCACCCCCCTAAAATGATCAAAAGCTATCCCCCTTTCCCATATCTCTCAATGTCCTATTTCTCTTAATGGGGATTCTATTTTAATGATCAACTGTAATTTGATTTGACTTTTCTATCCACCTTCAATGTCACCTGCTGATGAAAAATGTAACTGTTAAGATAATTATTAATTATTGGTGTTTTAGAAGCTCCCTTATACCCAAATGGCTAAATCTTAGTCCTCAAGGCATTCTAAACAATAACTGAATACAGGGCAAACAACTGCTTTCAAGAGGGCTATTGTGGGGTGGAGGCCTTCTGTGGTTCTCTTTGTTGCACTTGTTTTTTTAAATCCACTTTAAATAGTGTAATGTAACTACACCACAGTACTGTATCCATACTGCACCTCTACTTTACTATTCATAAAGTATTGATATCTTAGTAAATAATAGATGTTTCATCTAAGGTCAGAACTTTAAAGTCAGCTTGTCAAAGCTGATTTTTCATACTTGTTTATTTTGCGGTTGTAGTGAATGCAGATGCTTTGGCTCTTTTGAGCTGAACCTTATTTCTCCTTATTTCGCAGAACAAATTTCAGGGATTTGTCTTTGATGTGGTGACAAAGCAAGCCTTTGACATTATTATCATGGTTCTCATATGCCTTAACATGGTCACTATGATGGTGGAAACCGATGAGCAGAGTGAAGAGCTTGAACATTTACTGTACAATATCAACCTGGCATTTGTGGTCATTTTTTCTGGTGAATGTACACTAAAAATCCTGGCTCTTAGGTACTATTATTTCACCATTGGCTGGAATATCTTCGATTTTGTGGTAGTCATCCTTTCTGTTGTGGGTAAGTAGTCAGACTGTTCAGTTTACAAAGTGAGCTTATGCAAAAAATATTGTAAAGTTATTTTTCATATTGTGTAAGCTGGCCCAGGCTCTGATCACTCATTATTAATTTAGTATTTAAAACAACCCTTGTTAAGTCCTCAGTAAAAGAGAGAAACCTTCACTCAGTTTCATATTTTGCTGCTATATGACACTTGTTTCCTCCTGGATTGAGTATGAATCTTATTCTTTCACAGAGTGCCTATCAGTTACCTATTTTAGGATAGCAACAGAGAAATACATTTTCAATGATAGAAATACTTTAAAGTTTGTGATTTATGAATTGAAGGGGCAGACCTTTCAGTAATCTGCCTGTCCTCCATTCATAGATACTGTTTCATTTATAGAAGCTACCACATCGCCCTCAATTTTATTAATACCCACAGAACCAAACAGTTATGGAGGTGGGGGTGGTTGGTGGGAGATTTCACCTACATCATGTAATGTGCAGGCAGAGATACAGCTTTCCTGTATGAACACTCTGTATGAAAATAAAGCCTTAAATTAAGCTGCAAATTGCTTTATTATTACTTGGTCTATAAGTTCTGGACAAACCCCACCTATCTGCCTGTCCAGTAAGACTACATTTACTGAACAAGGGAATGGACGGACTAAGCCCAGAAGTCAAGAAAATTCCTGGTAACACATGTACAATGTGTTACATTTCTTATAATAAAATAATAAATATATCAAATAAAATATTAACATGCTTTATATTAGGTTCATTTGAAACTGTAAAATTCTATAGCTTTTTTTCTATTTACAACACAGTTAAGTGTACAGTAACTGTCTCTCACATAGAGTGAAGAAGATGCCTGGCCTCGTTGCTCCTAAATTAGTCTTTCCTATCTCCCTAGCCAGTGTTTGCAATGTTCTTTGGTTTGCAAACGACTTTAAACCAAATCACAGTTATGGATGACCGGGTATGCTTGTGTCTACCAAAAAGTGACTCTGACTTTCTTCTGTGTCCTATTTCCTCTCCAAGGTAACACCTTGTTGGCTCCTGACTTTGCTCACAAAACTGCTTTCCATCTGCCAATTAGTCCCCCCCCCATATAACTCCCTCCCCGTACCACATGCATTCTTGCATTTTTTTTTTTTTCTCTGCCTCCTCCTTCACCCTTACCCCCGGTTCACACACCTATGCGGCCATGCGGGCCGCGTTTTGCACAAGCATGAGAGCCCATTCATTTGAATGGACTCCCATGCCCGTGACATGCAGGGAAAGAAGTCCCTGCACTTCTTTGGAAAACGCAGCCCGCATGGGAACCTCGATTTTCAGTATGGTTACGTTTCCCAGTGCGGGCGGCATGCCATTAGAACTAATACACAAAGCAGTGTGCAGGAGCTGACAGGGGAGAGAACTGTACTGTTTACATACAGTTCTCTCCCCCGTCAGTATTACTCAGCGATCACCGGGAGCCGACGAGTAATCACCGGCCGGGACCCAGTGATTGACAGCCAAGGCCTCAAACGGTGCAGCTGCGTGTGCTCCCCGTATCCGGAACTGCAAAATCACATATATATATATATATATGTGATTTTGTGCACCCGTGCCGCCCTGTAGCAGTATTTCTGCTATAGGGCAGATGGCAAGTGGTTAAATAAAAACAGATTTTTACTTGTTACTTTGTCTACATTGCCAACAACTTGAAAATTATTTAGCACTTGTTCTTGACAACAATGAAAAACAGACCATTGTGAAAATCTATAAATCTATGATACAAGATCCCTTTTTATTTAGGCACCAATACTAACAATCATTTAGACTTACAATATTTTGACAATTCAACATTTCTTCAGTGTCATAAAGGCCTCATGGACACTTGAGCTCAAAACCGCTGCTTTTACAGGCATTTGAGCTTTTTTTTTCTCTGCCTCTAAACTCCCCTCTGTGTTAACCTATGTGTCCATGCACACTATAGGCATTTACAGAAGGTTACAGGCAGAAAAAAAACAAGAGAAGAGCATTTTGGCAGAAAAAAAAAACGCATGGCATGCTTAAACATGTGTAGACATGTCTAAACACATGTTAAAGCTAGGCACTTTTCCCGCTTGAGAGTTTTTTCATTTTAATGGCCAGAGAAAATTAATATTCTGGCCAATTAAATGAATAAACACTCAAGCGCTTGATGCTCCTTAAAAGTGTGTGAATGCTCCTAAACACATTTGAAAAAGCTTGACTTAGGAGCATTTTTGCAGCTGCCTTTCTCCTGTCAGGAGAAAATGTTTGTAAAAGCTCCAGTGAGCATGAAGCCAAAGAGTACTTAATGATGGGACAGTTTAATATGGTTTATTAATGACTTACTGTCTGTTTAAAACATTTCAGAGGACTTAGGCCAGTCATAGATTTATAAAAATTTGACCGATTCAGCAGGAACCATCCAAATTTTGATCCATCTGTTGGCATGCTGATTGTACTGAAGTCAATCTATCAATCAACTTCTGTACAACCAGCCTACCGGGGCTTTTTAAGCTGGTGGTTATAGCCGCCAGCAGTGATCATTGTATTCTGCCTGTGAGGAAGTCTCCCTTTGCTCCCGGTTGGCAGAACACAATAGCGCTGTGGGAGGGATTCCCTTATCAACACTGACTGTATTGTTGGGGGAATCGAACGATTTTCTTTCCTTCAACCACAGACTGAAAGAAGGAAAATTGCTCGATTCCCCTATCAATCGAGCGATTTAGACAGGAACATTGAGGAAAATTGAGGAACATCATAAACCTGATAAAATATATACATCTGATTCAAACTTAAAGTGGTAAATCACGAGTATGTGGTTCAGCTGCTAATAAAGGCTTTACTGTTCTCCTCTGAAAGCAAATTCTATCCTCTCTCTTTAGGGACTGATTTGTGATTTGTGAACTATGACACTTCAATCAATAAATCATGGGTATAACTGAAAAGCACAGAGCCCCATAAAAAAATTCTGACTGACACCCCCCTCCCCCCCACATACACATACACACACACTTGACAGTTCTTTCTCTGACACACCCAATAATACCTCCATTTACTATATACCCCTAAGATGAGCCCAATAAAAATCCGTGGCCACACTGGCCAGGGTCTTATATAGTTTTCTTGCACTTTAGATACTAGTGCTTATAATAGTTCTTCATGGAAATTGGTGAAAATAAAAGCTAAATGAATTTTAGATAAATTATCAAAAAAACAATCTACTTATTGTATTAAAGCCTACTAATTGTATAAAATATTGAAATAAATATTGATTGTATAAAAAATTAAATCTTCTTGTTCCGATTTGTAAAGTTTCTTTTTAATAAGAATGTATTTAAAATAGTTCTGAACGATTTCTCATTCTGTTTGCAGGTATAGTACTTTCTGATATTATAAAAAATTATTTCGTATCTCCAACGTTATTCAGAATAATCCGTTTGGCAAGAATTGGACGTGTTCTGCGACTTATAAGAGGAGCCAAAGGAATAAGGACTCTTCTCTTTGCCTTAATGATGTCACTCCCAGCCTTGTTTAATATTGGTCTCTTGCTTTTCCTTGTTATGTTCATATATGCCATTTTTGGTATGTCAAACTTTGCCTACGTAAAGATGGAAGGTGGAATTGATGACATGTTCAACTTTCAAACATTTGGAAACAGCATGATTTGCCTATTCCAAATCACAACCTCAGCAGGGTGGGATGGCCTACTCAGTCCAATATTAAACAGTAATAAACCTGACTGTGATCCAGAGTTCCCCAATCCAGGAAGCTCTCCTGGGAACTGTGGAAATCCCCCTGTTGGGATTGTCTTTTTTGTTAGCTACATTATCATATCATTTCTTATTGTGGTTAATATGTACATAGCCATTATTCTGGAAAACTTCAGTGTGGCCACTGAAGAAAGTACAGAACCTCTAAGTGAAGATGACTTTGAGATGTTTTACGAAGTCTGGGAGAAGTTTGACCCAGAAGCAACACAGTTCATTGATTACTCAGTCCTGTCTACATTTGCCGACTCACTTGCTGAACCCTTACGCATAGCCATACCAAATAAGATCAAACTGATAGCCATGGATCTTCCTATGGTTAGTGGAGACAGGATTCATTGCTTGGATATTTTGTTTGCCTTCACCAAAAGAGTTCTTGGAGAATCTGGAGAGATGGATACTCTAAAGATACAAATGGAAGAAAAGTTTATGGCAGCCAACCCATCTAAAATTTCTTATGAACCCATCACCAGCACCTTAAGACGCAAACAAGAAGAGGTGTCTGCCTGTATCATCCAAAGAGCCTATAGGAGGCATTTGCTTTATCGTTCCATGAAACAAGCCTCATTCCTTTACCGTCACAGGTCCTGTGATGGAAACATTATTGAAGAAGAGGCCCCTGAAAAGGAAGGCCTTATTGCCATCATGATGAATGAAAATTTTGTGCATCAATTGGATAAAGTAGAGTCTATTTCTTCTACTTCTTTTCCGCCCTCTTATGACAGTGTAACTAGGGACACAGGTGAAAACTTTGGGTTGGAAGAAGAAGACTCTGCAAAAAATGACGAGTCCACAGATTGTAAAATATGTGCAGACAGAGACAAAGAGTCCTTTGTATAATCTTTGGGGGTTTTTTTGTTTATTTTTTCCTGAAACGCTATCAGATATTGTTTACAGAATGTTACGACGTACAAGTGCACAATAGTTCTGGCAGCCTTCATATTTGATTTATTTGTGAATATAATGAATTAACTTTT